AACTCTCAAGTAATGGTCATATGAAAAAAACCTGAACTCCTCACAAAACCAATAATAAAACTGAACATTTTTCCACTGCAAGATTTCAATCCTGTGAATTCATACAATCTCATCTACATTAAAAATAAACGAAAGCATGATCAAGTGAACAAGGATTTGCACTGCATAATAACAAATTTATTGAAGTAATGAATAATATTTACAAGATCAATAATCTATACCAAAACTATATCTCAACAATAAAATTAATCTTCAAAGTAAAACTTCTAATGAAACACAGTTTCAAAAGTGAAGCAGAGATCCGTACGTGTTCATCTGATTTTTAAGTATATTCAAACGAAGCAACACACACACAAAACAACAACAAAACAATCAACGAGATCACTAAATTGATCACTTGAAATAAACGATAACGAATTGAACAAGAGCCACCAAGATGTTAGTTACAAGAATAAACGTTCCATAATAAATTATCACAGATTCAATGCGCCGCCTTTGACTGAAACAACATAAAATCAGTCACATTTTTTTCATTTTCATTCAACAACCACACGCTGATCATTCTTAATTATGAATGTCATTACTATCACATCATCTACAACACGATATTGTTTTACATTAACACAAAGAAATATTCTCCAATGGAAATTCGATTTCAAGTAAAAGCTTGTGAACAAAAATGTTTTAGATGTTATCATGCAAAGAAATAATGAAAATAATTTCGATATACTGATGACAATCAAACGGAAATATTCTCAACTATATTCAACAATAAGTAAATGCCTAGTAACGATGATAAAAATAAACTGAATATAAAAGCAACCTTGACGAATATTTGTAAAATAAATAATCGACGACTGTTGACGTTATAAAGTGCCCATCTAGTCCGTAACACGGTACAGCGTTCAGTAATGCCATTGCTGAACATCGCTTACGTTGAATTTCATCCTCACAAAACGAATAACCAACAAAGAAGCAATTCAAGATCATTCTTATTTGACATGACAATCATACTAGTCGTTATGATGAATTTAAAAAAAAAGATATATAATGACCTACCTAATGAAAATGTGATCATATACTTCAGAAAAATTTCCGCGATTAAAGGGAAACGCGTTGGCAAGAAGAAGAGACGAGGCACAAAATCGCTTATTTGAACGTAATAAACCAACTGAAAACCGAACTCGTTCAATACTGTTACATTACATCATTATCTTCATTACATTATTATTACTATTACTATTACTACAGTAGATCATCATTCGAAAAAAAAATCATAATTCGCGATTTAAATGGTGATCGCCTCATAAGCAGTTATTCTAGATTATGCATTTATATTCGAATGCATTATAATTTCAGTTTCGTTGACAATTGTTGAAATAATATCATTTGAACTTCATAAATGACAAACTGCAATTTGATCAAGTTTTCAAAAAAAATGCAGAGCCGTATAAAACAAGAATTAGTCGAGAAGAAAGCTAACAATGATGACAAGTAAATAAACGAACCTCATAAATACTGCCAATGAATAAAATTGGTTTCGAAGAATAAACCGTAAGTAATCGCAGTAAAGAAGTCTCATTAAAAAGTGACGGATAAACACATAAAGAGCCGTTAGTCTCACAGGTTGATAGTTCATCGCATTGTTGATGTTCTATTAATAATTATCATTGAGTTGTGAAAAGTGTTTCAGACAAAATGTTTCAATGGCATTTTTTTAGTAAGCGTTAAACCTATAAAGATAAGTTCGCAATAAGATTAAAGCAATGAAATTAAGCTTATTTCACAACAACCTGTAACAAATCGAGCCGCCAGACATGCGTATTGCATTTGTTCACCACCATTCAGTATGTTCTCGAATTTTAAACTCTCCGTCTGCAAATGCCATTCGATCTCATTACTACTTCTGACTTAATAACAACCAACAACGAATGACAGCATGTCAAACAGCAAAAATGATTTTACTTCAATATTCCGTGGATGGTTAAAAGTAGAACGTGACTGAACGATAAAAATTTTAAATCAAATATGAGGGATCTGAGAACACAACGACTGAATTACACATCAACTCAACAATACCATAATTCATGATTTCCTCAATATAAAGAATCGAATACTCGATCTGTAATGAAAAACAAACAAGAAACACGAACTGTTCAATCATTTCTACGGAGCATAGATTCATTATGTTCGAACATATTAAATGAAAATTGAATCCAAAGAAAAACGAACATTTTTATACGTAGACGAAGATGACAACGCTTTTGATACGTTCAATAAATCCGTCCTACGAAACTGGAAACAAACGTGTGATGAAGAAGGTATATCATCACTCTGCGATAAGTTTTCACCACAACACTCCAGTTCAACATCGTTCAATAGTTTCACCTGATAATAAAATGATTTCTACATTGAATTCCGTTACAAAAAACATGAAATAATACAAATACAAACGACAACGTAATGAAAACATTAAAAACCGTTGCTGTAACTATAACATGGACCATAATTTCACTAACAAAACACACATTCAACAAAACACAAACCTTATTCGTAATATACGGCGAGACGTCATTGTACGGTACACAATAGCCCGAAAATGGTTTATTCCTCAACAATTCGATGCATTTATACCAGTCATTTATATTCATTACTTTACATCCGTTTATTTCATTCAGCACATCTCCTTTATGCAATCCTGATCCTCCGTTCAAGCCTGATTCTTTGCTGACATCTTAAATATAATACCACTGTTAACGATCGATTTTCGAATATTTTGCCCAACCCAATCATTGAAATTTTGAAATAAATGTTAGGTATGATAAAATGAAACAATAATTTATTTCCAAAACACAAAACATAATTCTAAGTACGACAAAAACAAACCCATAATCAAAACACCATTGTTATGGTCGTAGAGTGGTGATAACAAATATGGTAATGAAATAAACAAAATATAACTTATAAGTGTCAATACTAGATTATGCCAAATTCCAGCACTGAATATTCGCATCTTTTGCGCTGATGTTGAATGTTCTATAAGATTTATTCACACAACAATGATAACGATTACCAGTTATAGCAATCATCCAAATAAAAGTAAAATAAAATTAATGATACTGAAGCTCGATAACATCAAAAACAGCTTTGATAAGACTAGACAAAAACAAAAAGTCACCAACTCAATGCATCCGAATCAATTTCAGTGAATGCACCGGGATACAGAGCAATAAAAAACAAGCCGAAACCATTCACAGATACATTCGAATGAATTGATGCGAATATATGCCCCAACTCGTGTAACATACCACTTATCAAATAAACCATTATGAATATCGGTATATGCCACAATGGCATGTTTAATCCTGGTATTACTGGTAGTATTGCTGCTTCTGAAATGTCAGTCAAAAATAACAGTACGAAGTTACAATAAGAATAACAAGTAAGAATGAAAAAATATGAATGAAATATGAAAAATATGAATGAAAACATGAAAATGAAACAATCACTCAAAATAGTATAAAAATCGATGATCGCATAATATTTGAACGTCTCATTGTTTCGTAAATGATACAGGAACGAGAATAAAACCAAAGAAACCAAGCTAACAAAAGTACCTCTATAATAGGACCGAGTCGACGGCAAGTCCGCGGCTACTGTCGTTGTTGCATTTTGATGGTTGAACATTGAATAGAATTGTTTTTGCTTTTCGAAAGAATTGTGAATTAAAATACACCATAAGTGTAAATGATCGATGAATATTTTACTCAGATAAGCAACCATAAAAAGCAACAACAGTAATGAAAGAAGTGAACCACAGATGAACCACAATGAAGAAAATTTCGATGATTTCAGAAAATCATTTATCCGTGTTGTCAGCCAAGATGATATGATGCGATCACTCAATACATTTTCATCGAATTTGTAGAAATAGAAACGTAACTGAAATTTCCGTTCATATCACACGATAATGCATGAATAAGTCAAATAATAAGTCAAATACAATTTTCGTGGTCATTATTTGATGAAGAAAACTCCCAAACAATGATCGCTGATGTGAAACGGTGATAATAATTCTTTAAAAAAAACCTTCGTTGGAACGATGAAATACTTGAAAAAAAATAAACCTGAAGGAAGGAAACTGTTAAACCAAAGCGCTCGGCAAAATTCACATATGACTTGATATTAAATGCTTTCAGATAATAATCAATAAGAAATATTGAACTCCATATTCCAAAAAATAGACCAATAATTGTTGTTAGCAACATTGATTAGCACCGAGTTCACTCAATTAATCAACAAAATCACAAATTCGCATTAATTAATCGTCACTCCTTCAGATCATCGTCTAAATTGCTTTCATGTGTGCACGCCAAATCGTTTTGTGGCGAAAGAACGACAGAAAAATGCCTGGATAAATTGACTGAACGTAGCTGTGAAAACTGAAAAAGGAGAATTGCATAAGCAAAATGTTCAGAACTGATTTCAAATTCTGTGTACGGAGGATGACTGGAATCACTGCAAAGTGACACATTATAACTTCACAACTGCAGCAGTTTTCGACGAAATCAACGTATAATCCGGCAGGCAGTCACCATCAAACACTAGTGTTGCGGGCGATTAAAGTGGAAAAGTGCCGGAACGGAACCTTGCTCGGCTTATGCCAAATGTTCCATTGGATAGAGAATTCAGCTCTCTACAACTAATCTATTTTCCGGCAAAATGCTCAAGTAGTTTTCGAGAGTGTAACTTAAAATGAACTCTCACTAGTGATTGATGTGGAAGACGTGCCTGCGATAACGAAGGTCAACAGTGGGAGGAGAAACAACGGAATCAAGGTCAAAAGCAACCCATCGGAAGAGAACTTGCCTTTATAACTGTAAAATCTAATGTGTTGACAAGTTCCAATCAACGCTACAACCCGAACCAGTCCTAAATCTCACAATCAGTTAAAATGCGTCCCACTGGAAACGATATCATGTGGCTACTAACCGAAACATCANTAATGTTTTATTATTATAACACACAGTTTATATAAATACATATTACAGACAAATTAATTACAGACATATTCAACATGAAAATATCGAATCAAATGAATCGGTTTCAGTTTCGGAAAAAAAAATTTTCAAGATTTGATGTTTTCAAGATTGAAGTCGTTTATCATGCAAGATCAATCAAACACATTTAAGATCAATCAAGATCAACCAGTCGAAAATATCATTCCTTACATTATCACCCATACTATTCCCCATATCTGAAGAAACTTCGTAAAACGATAACAAAATCTCATCTAACACAGTTTAGCCAAATCAGCTAACTCGGTCAAATTTACTTACATAAAGTAATCAGTCTAGAAGGATTTGACAGGTAGCTACTATTGTTAACCTGAACTATGAAAATAGAAATAAAATAATAGAAAAATAGAAGACAATAGAAAAATACACATTTCGAATAGCAATCTATAACCTACACAATACACTCTGGAGTATTGTTCGTCGAGGACGGCATCCCCGACAGAGGGCAATTGCCTGGCCACTTTGCTCCGACGGAGTCCACTGGCCAAAAAGTTGTACCCTGACGAACACTATTGTGAACTGCGCGATTACAAACTAACCGACTTACAAACTGGAG